ATGTGGTTTTAGTGTCAGGGTGACAATTAGGTTATGGTTAGGTTTAGAGGGTTAGAGTTAGGCATTCATTTTTCATGGTTAGGGTTAGGGTAAGATGCCAGGAAAAGCATTATGTCAATTAAATGTCCCCACTAAGATATGAAAATGAGTGTGAGTTGTGTGTTAACTACAGTTGGCAGTTCCTCATTTTCATCTACACGCCTTGAATTCTTAAGTTATGACTTGATCAGAGCGTTTCATCGGGGAAAAAAAGACTGCAGAAAAGCTGGTGATAGCTCAGCACTTAAAAATGTATGGTAGAAGAAATGACATCGAAAGATGTTCAAAGGGACCGAAATGGTTCTACAGCTGCACTTTGTCACCATTGTTGGGAATGCGGTGTAACCAGGGTCCAAATCAATGTAGTAACCAAAGCACACAAAACTTGCCAGTTGTGGATTCGTTCAATCAGTATTTGACCTTTATCATTGTGGCCCTACTGGTTTGTTTAGAAGCTGGCACAAAGCAAAGCACACGCCTGTTTTCTGACTTGGCCTAAGGCGGTTCCGTATTTCCACACGTTCAGTGTTAAGTCGCCGTGATTTTATCCCTAAGTCTGAGGGCTGTGTCAAAATAAGATAACTGCTCCATCATCTCCAGAGATGATGATGCGGTGAAAAAAGTCATCTGGTATCCGTTATGCTGTCTTAATTCTAAAATGATTACAAATCGTTCCATGCAAAGCTCGAAAATCGAACCCAAGAAATGTCTGAGAGAAAACATGACTTTTCATAAGAATGCCGTGCCAAATAGAGAAAAAAAAAAGACTGAGGGTTAAGTAAGAGCGTGTCAGAATTGTGCACAAGCTGAAGTGTGTCCATTTGCATCCCTGTAGATGTCAACAAGCCATCCAAATGCACTTTGACAGGAAAAGAAAAGTAGAATGCATGCAGAGTGGCACTCAGAAATGGCCCCCTGGTTGGTTTGCCTTTTAGTAAGAGTGGTAAGCTTTTCTTTCTGTCCTTTGTCAGGGTTGCAGTGGCTAAAAGACGTTTCAGCGCTGATTTATCGACACTGCAGATCAAATTTTATCACAACACTTGCTTGAGATTTTTCAGTTCCATAAATCAGTTAAATCATCAGACTATTTCTGGGAGCTCATCAATAATGGAGAAAAACCCCAAGATTCAGACATTACCAACTAAATCGAGCTGCACGCAACCGTTCATTTTTCAGTCTGCTTGGCTCCATTCTAATGAATTTTACTGACAATTAGGAAGAAACAAAGCCTTCACCGTGGGTGATGAGCATATCCACGCCGTATTCTGTGTCATCCCAATTTTTCCACTTAATAGTGCCCATAATAAGTGCTTATTAGAGGTTTATATTCAGAGACAAAGCCCTTATCTGCAATTACATCCTGCTGTTGAGTAAAGTGGGAAGTTAGTCAGAGTAGAGATCCTCTTGACACTGAGTTGTGACCCTCCTGCAACCTCTGCCTCAGGATATGACTCTTCAGAGTCTCAGCTGACAAACTAACGCCTTCAGCATCTAAATTAGCTGTCTGACAGACTCTGACACCTGACACGAGTCTGACACCTTTACCAGGATATCTGCAATGGGCCGTTTCCTCTCGACCTGCATGCAGAAAGCAGTTCATCTCAGACTTTCCTCACCTAAGCAAAAGCAAGCAGTCGCACTGAGCATTCTGAGTGATGTTGCTGGACTTAAAAAGAAGTCCTAAGATCATCTTATATCCCCACAATGATATTAGTTTGTCTTTATCTTTAACTTTGTCTGAAGAACTTGATTTGGTTTATGCTCATGTACTGCAATTTGCTGTTTCCATCCACAGCAGTCTGTCTATCCAGATATTTATTTCCTGAGCGGATGTGTCGATGTTAATCTAAACATTTAGGGGATGTGGAAGTTGTGATGCAGACTGCAGATTGCTTCACTGTGGGGCTGTGGGCTAGTCCTACAAGTCCAGCAAACCCTGTAGCGTGCATGCAATCATTGCTTATCTAGTAGAGTGCACACAGCTGACAATTGCATTGCGTTTTTTTAATATATTTTATATTTTGCCCGCAGCCCTGGATAGCAACTGTTATTCCTATACCGTAAAGGCGTCTGTGCAGTCTGTCAGAAATGCTCACCGAATGCTCAGATGCCTTAGGAAACCCCCTTTTTCCACACCTGTCTGACTTTCTGAAACTACCAATTTGACATTCACCACCTTCACTGGCTATTGGCCAACTGTGCAGGGGTTGGAAAGCAGCCAGAGTCTGAAGTGGTCTTCTTTTTGTTTTTGAACAAATTTACAGCATTTCTGTCTCTTTTCACATGGAGTGAAACATTATAAATATCTTCCAGGAGACAGTGGCAGAAAATGTTGTCTATTAAAACTCCAATAGCACGAGTCTAGCAAAAACAAAAACCTGCAGAGCCCAGACGAGATTTTGGGTCCCATGCCGGACCACTTGAGTAACAATATGCTGAAATGTTACCGTGGATTATTTGTTCAGTGACGCCAAACACGTGTTGCTTATTGCTACGGTAACTCCTGAGTGACAGCTGGCTTACAGTACGAAATAACTCTATCAAACACAACCTCACCTTATCACCTGGCTCCAAACTGCTTAGCTGAAATATACATTTCCAGAATTATGTGCCACAGAAGCACAGCAGCACTACAAGACCTAAACATGTGAATAAAGTAACATATACGTGCTCTTGGCAAACTCCCACTGCACGTGCCTGTGGTGCTTCCCACTCTCGTTTTCGTGTTATGGAAGATGGACACTGTGGATTTAGAAAACATTTCTCAAACAATAGTAAATAGTGAATATATTTCGAACATATTGACATGACGGCATCACAGAGTTTCTGGAGATTTTGAAGCTGCTTATTCACAATGTGAATCTCCCATTTCAAATCTGGCCTGGTGACGATAGAGGCCATTGAAGTAAGTTGTCATGTTCAAGAAAACAGATTAAGGTGATCAGAGCTTCGCGACATGGAGCGTTATCCTGCTGGAAGATGGTGCACTGTGGTCATAAAGGGATGAACATGGTCAGCAACAATGTTTTCAGACCAAGTGCCATTCCAACCTTTTGTTGTCCAGTTTTGTTAAGGCTGTGTGAACCGGAGCCTCAGATTCTTGGTCATAGCTGACAGGAGTGGGAGCCGGTGTGGTCTTCTGCTGCTGTGGCCCATCTGCGTCAAGGTTAGACTTGTTGCGCATTCAGAAATGCTCTTCTGCATACTTTGGTTATAGTGTGTGGTTATTTGAGTAACTGTTGGCTTCGTATGAGCTGACCTCTGGCATCAACAAGGCATTTTCACCCAGAGAACTGCTGCTCACTTAATATTTTCTCTTTTACAAGCCATTCTAAGCATTTGTGTGGGAAAATCCCAGTAGAGCAGCACTTTCTGAAACTCTCAGACTAGTCTGTCTGGCACCAACAATGAGTCCAAGTTTAAAGTCACTTGTGTACAACAGTAGAGCTCTGTGGCACAAATGAATAGAGATCCGCAGCCTCAGTGATACTGCTCATTTGAAGGAGAACTTCATTGCTGATTTTGCTAAGAAGATCATTAGGTGATTATTACCATTGAAAAAACCCCAAAACTTTTAATTTGGCTAATCAAGTAATCAAATCATGACACACACTCACATATTGTGTTTTCCAATCCTGCCTTGAGGCAGTCAAAAACCTCCTGGATTTCCATTAACATTAAAAAGCATCAGCACCCACACAAAAGTTGGGATTTAGAATTGAAGCCCCATTGAATGGGTGGCGTTTGCAGATTTATACACTAGAGGACGCTGCAAGCCAGCAGCTGTTCACCACATAGGCGGCAAAAGGGGAGTTGGCACATTGTTCTCTCAGGGTTGCAGCAATAAATTGCACTAAACCTACAATACTTAAAATTTCCAAGAGATGGCAATAGAGGATCGTGGTGGATCGCACTTCCATCAGGCACAGGAGTAATTATACACACAGATTGAAATCGACGGGGCACCCATCACCGCTCAACTTCTCGGAATTCAAATGACTTCATGAATGACTTAACGAGGAGCAGGACGCGTAGATCATCTTGCGGTTTGTATATTTATTTTAAAGCAACTTCGTTTGTAAAATATAAATACAAATTATGAGATATTTTAATTACAAAGTTAGAACAAAAAGAACAAACAAACCCAAAACAAAACAAAACTGGACACACCAAAAATTACCTTACTGCAGTAGCCTCCTTGTTATGTACAAGCTGTGCCAAGGGGTGAATATCAACATTATCTTAAAACTTTATTATACAATTTTGTAGTTTGCATGTTAAATTACAGACTAAACAGGAAGCAACATTTGAACATCCAGAAAAAAAACCCAAAAAACAACAACAACAGAAAAGCCCCTGAGGCTCAAGCGAGCACTAAAGTCTGAGGAGGGGATGGCTGGGGGGAGAAAAACAGGACATCATGTGCTTCCTATAAACACAAATACCACATTCAATAGCACAGCCTCGGTACTATTCTGTACAACTACACACATGCGCAATGTGCCGCGCGCTCACGCACGCCATCCAGTTGCTGACAACACGCTTACGCTCTGTTGCCATACAAAATCTTTCAGAGGGGCGTGTGAGCAAAAAAAAAAAAAAATCTCTTGATATTATATATTTATTTATATATATATATATATATTTATTTATTTATACATATATTAATTTATAAAAATAAGACCATTATTAAGTCTATTGAGTCACAAATATATTGATCCTCAGTTAACAGAGGGAAATGTTTCAGCAGCCCATCAGCCAGTAGGTCAGTCCATCTGTACAGTGCACCAGTGCTGGTCCAGAGTCGGGCCGAAGCGCAGGAACTAAAGGTCAGGCTAAGGCATATCGTCATAACCCCTGCTCGGTTCTAAAGCAAACTGCAGTCGATAATGATCAAGGTTCAGTGGGTCAAAGGGTCAGGATGAGCCCAACTTTTCCACAGCCTTGATTTTGTCCTTGAGTTTGTCACCGGGGTGATCCCAGCGGTCGTCCAGAAACTCCAGCGTGGAGCCCAGCAGGGCTGCGAGCTCTGCGCTGTCTTCCACCAGGTCCAGCAGCTCCTTGCTGTCGGGATGGAAGCCCTCCAGCTCTTCTGGGCAGGAGAAGAGCTGGGACAGAGATGCTTGCCGGTAAAACTCCGCCTCCGCTACCGTCACCACCTCCATGTGAGGGAAGGCCTGCCGGAAACCGCGAGCGGACATCCGCAGCCGACGGAGCACATCGGAGAATAGCAGCCAGTTTTTTGGCCTGAAAGAGAATAATTAACAGACGTTTAGGAATTTAGGAAAAAACAGAGTTGAAAATGTAATCTGCTTTTGAGAATAATGCTCACCCCTGGGAGAGGGACACCTGGATGTTGTAGCAAGGCAAAAGAGGTCGGTCGGAGAACTCGAACTCAAACACCTCCCTTTTATCATCCTCATCTTCATCATCTGGACCTGGGGCGTCTGCTAAAATGTCATAGACACCGCCCTCTTCAGTAGACTCTGGACACAGAAAAAAGGAAAAGCACGGATCGTTTTTTAGTGAGCGTCAACATTACCATAAAGCTGCCTTGCCTAAAAGAGGCCAGTGCGACGTACAGACACTGATGATGTTTAAAAATAAAGACTTTGTAAGCACTAAAGGACACACGCAGAGTGCTGATCAGTACTCACCACACACAGCGCTGCCATAGAATTCCCAATAAAGCCCTGGGTCGTCATCTGAGCGGCCCTGAAGGTCGGCAAAATAATCTACGGACAGAGGAGAGGAGCGAAGCCTGTTATTCAAGAGCCAAAGCCCTGGGGACAGGCAACGAGGCAAATACAATTGCCCTTGGAGAATACAGCAGAAAAATGGATAAAGAGCGCAGGAAAAAAAAAAGAGAGAAGGAGGAGGAGGGGGAGGGGGAGTGTCAAGAGAGAAAAGAGAAACAAACAGAGCAAATGTTTTTGGGGGGAGGAGGGGAGGACGGGAGGGCTGATGGTCAGGGGCCAGCGGCTCTACCACGGGGGAGGAGAGTGGCTGTCTCCGCTGGGTTAGAGCTGGCTCAGTGCAGAGCAGGCCTGCAGACTGCTGCCAGGAATCAAACAAGAACCACACACAGTCGCCGAGTGCGCACACACACAGAGCGATGGAAACAAACAGGCAGAGGGAGCTGGATAAGCACACCCAGCGAGAGCAAAGTGTGTATTCAGCACATGCGCGCGCACGCACACACTTGCAGAGTGAGAGCTGGGCTTTGTGCCAGTGCTGAGGCGTGGGGCGTCTGGCGTGTGTTTGGAGGGATTAACGGCCTCCAGATGAGTGGGACCAGGTGGAGGGAGGGCAGCAATCGCTTGCACTCGCTCATTTTCTCCGGTGCTCGATCTCCCTGCCGACATCGATCCATCCACCCGCGTTCTCTTCAACATTCAGCACCAGCTTTCGCAGGCGTCTACCTACTCGCATAAACCTCCTCCTGCCACCTGTTTTATTTTCGCCTCCGTTCCGCGATCGTCTCTCCTGCTCGCTACGAGCCCCCGAGTGTCTCTCAGGCAATAGCTTTTAACTAGTTCAGGTAATGCCAAGCAGCTGGCTACAGGGGAAACGTGAGCCTGTTTGTGTGTGTGTGTGTGTGTGCTTTCATTTCCTCCTCCTCCTCCTGTGCACAGATTCGTGTTGACTCAACCCGAGTACAAACATCAAGCCCTCACAACACACACGTCAGACTGTAGCGTGGCAGCCTTGTGAAAAGACAGGCGCTCACATGCACACGTACAAAAGCAGAGTCTCTAGCCAGAGCAAAGCCCATTTCCGCACGTACGCTGAGCAAACACAGTTGCCGTTGCTAAGTAACCAGATAGAGGAGCTCAGAGGCAGCAGCACGCACCCTGGCGGGCTCAGACTCCCTGTCTAACAGGTGGTCGAGGGAGGAAGGGAGGGGGAGAGGAGGGGTAGGGAGGTCGCTGGAGGGGAGACGGGGATGACAGCGACGGACGTGTCGAGCTGTAGTTGGGAGGATTTGCGGAGGGGGCCTCACACCAACAGGTTGCACAGAGGTCAGAGCGCTGAAAGAACAGCAAACAGCGAACAAGCCAAGATGGGAGCTTTCGGGAACCGGGCTCGTGACCGATCTCTTTAACAGTTTACCCTTGCCTCACCTTTTGATGGCCACACTCCGGTGTGCCTTCTGGTTTTTGTTTTTTTGTGTGTGCGTGTGTGTTTTTTGAAAAAGAAATCCTTGCTTCGCGTTGGCTTTTATTTCCCTTTTCTAGCATTGCTGAGTTTTATGATCTGTGGTCAAAGGCACATTAATATTCAAATTTTGTGGCTTTTGCATTTCATTTTGTCTGCATGAGAGAAGAAACATTCTACCAACTTTAGCTCTTACTACACTGCGATTTTAATAAGGATCTTAAATTAGGTATTAAGTAACCTTTTTTTTGTTAAGATCCGTTTTGTCTTTCTTCATATTGCAGATAATTCCTACATATGATGGCCTAACTCAGAAGGCTTTGTTTGCAAGCCATCTATCACACGTGCCAAAATGAGACTCAAATGTAAGAATCTGAAGTCAAGGACTTAATGTCAATTTCTTTCTTTCATATGTAAGAAAATCACATTTACCAGTGAGGAAGCGCTCCATGCTGTCGCTGTGGGTCATCTTGAGAAGGCCACGGCCAGAATACGTTGCCAAGGTGGGGTCGGCGCCATAAGACAGCAGGACTCTCACCACGTCCAGGTGGTCGTTCTCCACGGCATCGTGAATCGGTCTACACACACAGGGAAGTAAGTTCATTGATTAACTATTGGAGTGGTTTTCCAGGATGAGATTAGGGGGGAAATTGCATTTTGCATCATATCTTTACAAATACATATCAAATTAAAATTATAAGAGGGAAATGTCTTCTTTACCTTCTTCAGAAAATATTTTAAACTCGGATCCACATATCCTTCAAAATCTATGGATAAAATTTATACATGGTGTGGAGGATATTTTTGGGAATTCACTTCTGATCAAACTTACAAGAACGATCTATATTTTCCTTTTTTAGATTTTCCCTAAACTCAGACGTAGCGAGACATAAAGTAAAATGAAATTCAGATTTATAAGACTACTGTTGTTCTTACTGCAGATGCTGCAAATCTCAAAAGCAAAACTGCATGGGCAATACTCCTGTAAGACCTGAGCACAGTTTCTTAGAACAGACCCCCCAGTGTAAATTTTAATAACACTGCAATGAAAGTACTAGCCTTCCCTTTCCAAAAGTGCAGCTAATCAGCCAAATCACTGCTCTTGTACAATAATGTAAAATAAATCCCAGAAATTTTAGTTATGAGAAAGCTCGCGTCACTTTATTGATGGCCAAGCCCTGCTTTTCTTTATTCGGGAATTCATGTAAAACCAAAAAAAGAAAATCCCTACATTTCTGCATTTTCCTAAGAGGGGTGTTTATGTAACCGTTGGTGTTTGTGATCGAGTGTGCACGTGCATGAAAGAGTTCGTTTACCTGGTGCCGTCCTGAGCGCTGCAGTTGATGTCAGCCCCGTAATCCAGAAGGTGTTGGACTATGGTGAGCCAGCCGCGGGCGCATGCCTCGTGGAGCGCGCAGTAACCGGCGTAATCTCTGTGATTCACCTCACACACTCTGTTCTCCAGACAGTACAGCACAACCTCCTAAAAAAAATTAAAAAAAGAGCCAACAAAGAGAGCAGGGCTTAGTGTGTGAGCATCTGCGAAGCAAACACTGCGAGAGCAGCCACACAAGTCAGATGCATGCGCAAACAGTCCTTCCCTTTACGGTTCCTGAGGGAGAAAAATGAAGGAAAGGAGGAACTGAGTGTGTTTCCTGTGCTGGACAAACATACACGCTCGCACACAAATGCTCCATAATACTGGAGCTGGCGCCAAACACATCGAGGAGACCAAGTGTGACTCAACTGTATTTAGCCTGCCAGATTCTCCACATGCACGTGTGTGTGTGTGTGTGTGTGTGTGTGTGTGTGGCATGGTTGGGCCTGGACGCTGCTGTGGCAGCCAGTTACAATGGCTGGGCTCTGAACACAGCATAATGGAAGCGGAACAAAGAGATTTGATAGCGCCGCTCAAGAGCTGGAAGCGTTTTCTCTGGTCTAGGGCTGTGACAGTTGGAGGTCCAGCACTAAGTAGTCAGACTGGTTTTTATTGGACTGGAGCAGCGTCTGCTGCCATTAAACAGAGACGAGCCAGAGAGACAGAAAGCAGCCTAAAAGTGTGTCGATACAGGGCCCGTTCGAGTCAGACAAGTGTGCTTTTTTTTGTTAGTTTGTGCCCTTTTGGATAGGCAACTTAGTGTGGCACTGGCTATTACTAGTATTTGTAAACCCAAATAGATATATCCAGACGTTAAAATAGCTTTGAAATCCAATATGTCCTTAAATTCGCATGAAATGAGCAGTTTTGTGACCACGAGTGGCCCGTCTCCACGACACCAGTAAATTGTCCTTTCACTTTTCAGCCTGTGAAAATGGAAATGTCACGTAGAAATATAGAAAAAAAATAGCTTGAACTCGTTAACATTAACACAATATTTGTCTTAAAACCCCTTGAATTAAAGCTGCATACATTTACATCTTTATTGCTATATTTCATATCAATTGTAGTGGTATATAGAAGCAAAATTATATATAAATATATAGATTTTTTAAACTTATGGATCCAACTGTAACCACACACACACACACACACGTGACTCTTATATCCAGACACATTCATACCCTGTCCTGCTGACAGTCCTGTGCCGAGGGGAGCAGAGCTGCTCATCTGAACCTGGGAAATGACTCCAAACTTCCATTTCTATGCTAATTCTAGGCTGCCATCTAGTCCAAGTGTTTATCTCTCTCTCACTCGCGCTTTCAGAACAGGGTGGCTGGAGGGAGGAAGAGGGAAGGAAAGGCAAGCGGAGAGAGAAAACAGACTGACAGAGGGACGAGCAGAGGGTTAGAGAGGACGCGGAACGGGACAGACGAGAGGCAACACCCCGACAGATGACAGATAAATGAATCTGTGGATGAAATCTGCCGGGGCAGTCCTCTGGGCTGCAGCTGATAATAACAAGAGATGAAGGGGTGGTGGGTGGCGGTGTGAAAACGGGGAGGGGTGAAAGGAGTGATAGAGCGAGCGATCGGACGAGCCAGAGAGGCGGGAGAGATAATGGAGAAAGAGAAGGAAGAGGGAAAGCAGGCAAGGAAGAAGTGCAAAATAAAAAGAGGGAGAGAGAGAAATGAGGGAAGGTGGAGAGACGCTCCAACTGGTTTTCTTTCACTGCCAACGCTCTGTTTGCCTGCTGGAGAGAGATTCAGGAGCACTGTGCTCAAGCTCCCCTCTGGGGGATTCCACTTGCTGTGTGTGTGTGTGTGTGTGTGTGTGTGTGTGTGTGTGTGTGTGTGTGTGTGTGTGTGTGCGTGCGCGCGCGCGAGTGAATGAGAGCAAGTGTTAGAGAGACTGACGGGTAGAGAATGTTGATATGCAGCTTTCCTCGGTCTGTGCGCTTGTGTGCCTTTTTGTGTGTGGCTGTGGAGGAGGCGTAGCGCTAAACCTCCGGAGCCGTGTTTAATATCGCTGGGAGAGAGCGAGGAGCTTAGCATGAGAGCCCCGGCTTCCCGCCAGACAGACACACACACACGCACTCCTCCGCAGTAAAATGAGACACCCCTCCCCTCCTCCTCCTCTCGCTCTTTCGCTCCGTCCTCTAATCTCCCTCTCTAGAATGCTTCCCTGCGCTCGCCTGCAATCAATGCATCACTCAGACATTTAACCCCTCGCGGCTCGCAGAGTCCTCGCATACAGCACATGTGGTCATGTCGAGATGAATCACGTGCGCAGATGCACGAGTGGCTTTCCTTTGAATGATGAAGTCTAGGCAGCAAAGTTTGTGCGTGCTCAGAAAAGTGAAATGTGCGGATGATTGAGTGCATGTGTAAAGTGTGCGTGAAAGCCCGGCCCTCCTAGAATGGCACCGCTGGAGGGAGACGGGAAGCCTCAGTATGCAACTACTCATGATGTCAGTCAGACTTAATCTCACACTCAGCCACACATATGCCATTTAAGCCAACTTAAAAAGAAGAATGAAAAACAGGAGGATGTCCCATTCTCATCAGTAACCTGCACATTAAAGCTTCTCCACAGGTGTCTTTTAAATGGGTACGTCCACACTAATCCAGTTTCATTTTAAAACTTCTGCTTTCACATCCGCTGTCCAAAATCTTCGGCCGGTTTAAGAGCCCCGAAAATAAACCTATGGAAGCTCTGCTGACCCAACCTTTGTGTGAAAATAATGAGATATTGTTTTAATCTGGACAAACAATGATAACGCAACACCCGCGTTCACTGATCAAACCATAACAGCTAAGCTTGCGTACTTTTCTTTTGAGGTCGTCCTTCTTGTGCCAATGCCAATGGCTTTTACTAACGATGAAAAATGGTCCTGCCACTGTCCTTACATTTTCTCTGTAACACCTCGTTGGTAGTCCAGGTGGAAAAAACGAAACCTTGTCTTGAATTTCGTCAATCCTGTTGTGCCGTTGCCTGCTGCACATGCTGTGGTATGCGAATGGTCTTGCAATAACCGTTTACAGTTGTGTTATTGTTTACCATATTCTGTATATTAGACATAGACGGCCCACAAGTTTTTGCTAATAACCAGCAGGGGGCGACTCGTCTCGTTTCAGTCGAGTTGTACTGAATCCTCAGACCCTCATGCTAACCGTCTGATGATGAAATTTACGTCAAGTCCCGAGCAGACTCGGAAATATAACCCCTGCTTTATGCTTCTTTGAAGTCCACCACTTTGTGAGCATGCGTAGCTGCTGCACTGTAATTTAAATTCTCCTTGCAGTCACCAAAAGCAGGTAGACGCAGCCGTCCCCACGGAACTTCACACTCACCGTCTGATGATGAAATTTACATTACTTGGACCCAAGCAGGCTTGTGGATACGGAAAGCATAATCCTTTGTCACTCAGAGATTAGTAGCTATTGGTATTTCGTTGGATCAGAAGATGACAGAGTGCAAATGTAAGTTTGCAAAAAACGTTGATGTTACGTCCGAAGCTAGTTAGCAATCTTTTGCTAACTAGCTCTAGTTAGCAAGCGATACTGCTACTACCCAACAACATGATGGTGCGAACCCGCCAAAGCAGTTGTCATAGCTAGCTGGCCTGCGACGAGTAAGCTAACGACCCTAACGACCTCAGCTTAAAATTGTTTAGTTAAAGAGATGTGCAGTATTAGTCTGTTTAATGAAATGCAATACAGTTAGTGTGATAACGTGTTAAATTTTGGACTTTTTGGTCTGTAGTCCATCAAAGGTCAGCACTGTCGGGACTGCTTGCCATCGGTCAAAGCTGAACTTTAAGTCACTGTGGATGTACTTTACCACAAAAACCACTGATCACAGTGATTTCATTTTCCAAGTTTTTCCATCACGCTTTCTGGTCCAACTACGCACTTAAAATGCAATCCAGTTTTTTCCTCTTTGCTTGGATCATACATGGATTTGAGGAGAAAAATCAGAAGCGATTCATGGGGAGAATAAATGACAGATTGCACCTTTATCTGAGCTTTCAATGGGCAGAGAGCTGAGGGGCCCCGAGCCCCAGCACTAGAGGGATGAAGACATCCGCAGAATCTCTGCTCATTACCATTTCAAATGCTCAGAGAGCGAGGGAGAGCGAGAGAATAAAAGGGGAGTGAGGGAGGAAGGAAGAGAGAGAGAGAAAGAGAGAGAGAGTGGGCTTTCATGTGCAGAGGCACGGATTGCAAAACTAAATGAACGTGAAATATGCACAGTGTCGGCCCGGGCAGCGAGAACAGCACGGAGAAGTGCATGTGTGCTAAAATCGCATGCATGAGGTGATTCTGCATCCTGCATGTGCCGATTTACACACAAACACGCACACAAAAAAGATGCAGCGGTGTATTTAGTGGCTTGTGCGTGCATGAGGAGACACTGAATTTGCATGTGCAGGTCTATGTGGGTGTGCGATAGCGAACGCCGAGAGTCGCCTTGTCTGTGTGGCATATGGAGAAGAAACATGTCAGGATGCCTGTGCATGTGCTTACTGGGTCAGAACGTGCGTGTGTGCGTGCGCGCACGTATTCCGTCGCATGCTCATAATCGGCATGTGAGCTGTGTTCGTGTGCGTGCCTCCGTCTCGCAGGCCCTCATATCTCTCTGCCTGCATGTGATAAGCCCAGAGCTCGCGGCGCTTAAACACCAGCGTGAGACAAGCGCTGTACGCATCTACAGGCTTGTATGCAAGTGTGTGTGTGTGTGTGTGTGTGTTAGGCCTTATGCATAGTTGGTGTGTGTGTTCCTGAGCACGTCCTTGTGTGTGCATGTGTGGGAGCCCCAGGGGCCTGCCCCAGGCTTATCGCACACAGGCAGTGAGAGACGAGCTTCCTGAGAGAGAGAGAGAGAGAGAGAGAGAGAGAGAGAGAGAGAGAGAGAGAGAGAGAGAGAGAAAAAGAAAGGGTGGGAGAGAGGGGGTTGTTTGCGCAGCGGTCAGCGCCTTGTTTGTGTAGTCTCAGGTTTTCTCCTCCCTCCTCCTTCATTCCCTCTCCACATGCAGAGCGCAGGAAGGGAAAAATGCGAAGGGGGAATGAAAAAAAAAGAAGGAGAGGGAGGGAAAAAAAACGTTCGAGAGAGACGCATAAATCAGAGAGACGAGCCAGCTTCTCTCCAGCACGGCTGACTGAACCCTGCTGCTGCGCTGCACCCTGTTCGTGCGCGTGTATCTGTGTGTGTGTGAGAGAGTGTGTGTGTGAGTGAGAGAGAGCGAGCGAGCGAGCCAGGGAGAAAAACAGCCGCCGCCACTGCTAACCACAGTCACCACGGCACATTAGAGGGCCATTAGAACGCGATTATACTCCCAGTGCTTACCTCTCATTCACACTCTCGCTCTCTCCCATTCAGACTCACACACATAATCACTGACACACACACACACACGCGCGCGCACGTACCTCATCATCATAAACGTGTCCAAACACACACACAACCATAAAGCAACTCATGAATGAGCAACAAAAGAAACCCACACCTATTTACAGTTTCTGAGAAGATTCCTCTGCTGGTGATAAAAATTATCACGCACGCACACAGGCGGCATCAAAGGAGATACCGAAGGAGTGGACACGCATACAGGTGCCCACACACACACACACACACACACACACACACTGAGAGAGCAGGAATCCGCAGCTCAAGTAGCATTAAAACTACTCAGATCAATAAATCAATTTGTAACATCTGTCAACAAGGGGGAGAAACGTTTAGGCTCGCGAAGAGAAACACGGGGGATGAGGGAGAACGAGAGAGCGGGCCATCCAACTTTAATTAAAAGCTTTCGGAGCAATGGGAGTTGCGAGAGAGCGAGAAAGAGTCGGTAAAATATACACAAGTCTCATTCTTTCTTGCGTGTGGGGAGAATGAGGATCTGGTTTAGGAGCAAATGATCGGCAGCAAAGAAAAAAAAATCTCCCGATGCTACGGAGAGGCAGCGAGCATCAGTCTGCGCATAATGATCCCACCGATCCCCTCATGCTGCCTGCGCGTGCTCGTTTCTGTGCGTGTGTGCGCGCCGGGGTGTGTGTCACACTTCGCCTCACGGAAAATTAATGAGATGTGAGAGCGGAGCGAGGCGAGAAGAGGGGAGGCTGTGTGTGTGTGTGTGTGCGCACTTGTGGGGAAGAGGAGGGGTGCCAACGACAATCTGAGTCACAAAGAGAGGAAGAGAAAGAGAGCGCTGAGAGGAAAGGGGGGGAGGGAGAGAGCGGAAACCTGAGAGAGAGAAAGAGTAGAGCGGGCGAGCCGAAAAGATGGAGCATGTGAAGTAGAAATCGCGAGTGAGGGCGAAATAGGAGGAAATCATACAAGAAGGAAGAAGAGGAAGAATAGGACAGATGAAAGAAGAATCTCAAAAACTCTGAGAAGGGGAAAAAAAAAAGAGTAAAGCGACGTTTGGCAGAGTCACAGACAGGAACAAAGTAGGTGGAGAAAATGAGCTCAATTTAAGAAGGGAGAGAGAAAGCGAGAGATTTGGAAAAGACAAAGTCTGAGGGTGTAAATTGCGAAGAGAGAAAGCAGATAAGAAGGGAGGATGACTTCGACTGAAGCCTATTACCTCGTAGCCCAGTCGCGCTGCTCTCTGAAGGAGCGTCTCCCCGGCGTTCTTGTTCACAATCAGCCGACGAGCCTCTGGCGGGATCGGACGCACCACGGAGGGCTCGGCAGGGGGGGTTCTGTGCAAGCCCGCCGGCTCTGGTGGAACACCGCCCGCTCTGTCATTAGCCTGGAGCTGCAGGGAGGGTGGACAGAGCGCGGTGGGGGAGCAGGGCTTGACTGGAGAGCAGGGATAATGATTAGGAGAAGCGGCTCTCTTCCTCGGAGCGCTGCACTGCTCACTCAGCTGAGGAGAGAGTGAGAGATGGGGAGAGAGCGTTACAGTCCCTGCCACGAAGCAGACGGGACATTCACAGACACACACGAGCACGAGCATCCAAGGGGACAGGGATGAGACTACGCACACGCGCACGGAGGGAAATTAAAATGTGCATCCATGCACAGGAAATGATATCCACTTTTTAAAATAAGTTAAAAGGAGAATCAATTAAAAAGGTGGTTTAAGTATTCGAATCAGGGCCCAAAATTCATACTGAAATTTGAAGCTCAAATCTGTTCTTAAGCCATGTGTTTAGACCCCCCCACCCCACTTATCCTCACATGACTTCCAAACTACCTCTTTAACAGCATACCTACTGTATATATACACACTCAGATTGATTTTTTATCAACAACATCTGTGTTTATATATGACTATTGTGTCTGGGAGATACGCTATGCATCGCTGAAAACACACACACACACACACACACACACTCACACACAAAGCTTTCACGCCGAGTGTTCACGCCCTAAAACAGTGCAGGTTGGCACGCCACTTTTCTTTAACTGCTAAACCAACAGAGCCCTCTGAACACAACACACGAGAGAGGGAGTTGCCTGCTTGAGTGTGTGCGTGTCTGACTGAGTGTGTGCGAACACTGCGAGCCCTCTCAGTGGAATTCCATGTCGAAGCAGCTGTCAGGCTGAGGAGGAGCAGGGGAGGAGAGCAGCACGGGCGGAAAACGACTCGCCTTCTTTTTTTTTTTTTTTCCCCTCAATTTTTCCCCCGTGCTCTCCCCCCTCCCTCCTCCTTTTGAACTCGGCGTTTCAAACGCTCAGTCGTAGCTGCCACATTCCTCATTGTGCGAGTGCGAGAAAGTGTGCGTGTGTGTAGCTTTGTGTTCAGGAGTGAGTGTGATATATAATTGCTCCAGGGTTTTTGAATGCTTGCGAACACGCAGACACTCGCACCCCTGTCTCTCACCTACCTACACACACACACACACACACAAAAAGATGACACGCGTTCGACAATTAAGGCCAGAGACACAAACACATGCATGCGGGGCCCTCCGCAGGGAGCCGCTGAGGGCGCGGGGAGGTCAAAGCTCCAGCAGTCCTCTAAACATTGTAAACATACTTCCTTCCTCAGTCCCTCCCTCCCGTCCCCAGCTGCATAATCAGAGGCGCCAACAGGCATACTGAAACAGAGTCTGCCGCTGCAAACATCCAGACGCCTGCGTCTTGGTCGCACTCACCTTGTCATCCTCAGCTTTTCCCAGCTCAGTCCCGCAACGCTGGCCCGGGCTGCTGGCGGCTGCCTCTTTCCTTTTCTCCCTCTCCCGCTCCCTCTGGCTGGTGTGTTTGGTCTTGCACGGCCGCTTGCCCTTGGGTTTGTCCGTGTCACTATGGCGACGGACCTTGAGGGGAGGGGTGCCTCCCACGGACTGTTCTGGGGCCGGAGAGGGGGGGCCCCTCCTGGACTCCTTGAGGCCACGGTCACCTGAGAAGGGGTTCGGCGGGTGCGCTCTGTCCTTCAGCTGGCTGGGGGGGAGGGGAGCGACGGCAGCAGCTACTCCTGGAGAAGGAAAAGAGGAAGGCAGAGTGAGCGAGTGCGAGGATAGGAAAGTATTGCAAGGCCATCTCTCACCCTCTGTTGGTTTATTAATGAGCACACAGAGCTGTCTGGGAGCGCAGCATGCCTGCTCGCCCAGGGAAAAAAAAATTATAAATAAAAAACACACACTCTCGCACGCAAGCTCGCATAAACACCGCTATAGTGATTCCTGTGCACTTCTTCACTGCAGCAAGGACACGGCTAGGAGTAATCTCCTTAAACAAATGTGGCACTGTCTGGTTTCAGCCTCTTATAGTACATATTTACACAAAAATAAAAAAGCTGCCCTTGAAACCTCAATGTCGAAAAGCTTATTGGAAATACATTTGCTCCTAAGGATCGTTGCAAACCCGCTTTAATCTACTTGGCGATCTGGTCTAGGTCTGATTTCTGCTGCAGTACAACTTTTAGAATAACAATTTAATAACAGCAATTTGTTGCAGAGACAACAGCTTTTTACAATGCAATATCCTTAACAGGCAGATTTATGCATTTCATGTGACTAGTGGTTTTCTGAAGGGGAAAAAAACAACACACAGATAGACACAGTGGAATAACCACAGTCATTATCAACACAACCGTTGTCACAGTCATGAGAGGTGAGAGGTAATTAAATAAATGTATATTATTTAAAAAAAAAAAAAGAATCAGTGCCCAGTAATGGTCTGTGGTTTCTACAGAAAAATACTCAAACCCTCTTCTGCTTTATTCACTTCCTTTAATCTCTCCACTGCTCTTTTATTCTCTCTTCTGCCTCGGAGACGCCATTTTGCGTTTCTCATAAGGGAAAGCCCTGGCTTTAGTAAGACCCCTCTACCTCACACACCCAACAAAGGGGAAAGAAAAAGAAAATCATTGATCACACATTAGTCACACTCCACCTGCCCACACATACCTCCACCAGCCACTTCCCCTCATTTGCTTTTTAATCGTCCTCACAGAGACCCCGCTGTAGATCAGCTGAACATGAAAGAAAAAGCCTAAATCTATGCGCACCGGGAGGGTGGTGAGAGGCATTTTATCTTGTGGTTCTCTGCGTCCCCCCTTTTTTTTGATTCCTCAAGCCTTTACCCTGGCAAGAGGAAGAATCTCCCCCCCCCCTCGTGCTCCCTGACAGCTTTTGGGAAATCCCCTAAAGACAGACTGCTCAACAAGAAAGTGAAACGTGAGCCAAAGATAGATTTCCGTTACCCTAGCTGAACTCGGCGGTTTGTACGGCTGGTGGTTCACTCTTACCATTAGGCAGCTTCTCGCAGCCCCATTTCCTGTTGATCTCGCTTCTCTGCGCCGCGGCTCTGTCCTCGTGCTCGCCGGGCCTGATCTTGCGCTCGCGCAGGCCCTGGGTAGGGCTAACCAATCGGGGCTGAGGCCATGCCCTCTCTTGCTTGATTTGGGACCCATCAGGTGAAGCAGCGCCCGCGGCGGGCTTGCTGAGTCGCAGTCCCTTGAGCTCTATGCAGACCTTAAGCTTCCGCACCTCCTCGTCGTCGTCGTCGTCCGCACTGGCTTTCTCACGCTCGTCTGCAGATGAACACAAACACAGAATGTTGCTTGAAACGCAACAATTTGATGGTTTTTGCGTTTAAACCTCGATGCAAAGATGTGAAGAGCAAGCTCTCGAGCCTCGGTTATTATAAAAAGGTCATTTAAAAAAAAAACAAACGCTAGGTAGTCTGAAAAGTGCATTATGAGCTACTTAAAAGATTTCTTCTAAGTGTCTCTGAGTTGACATTTGGATTAAAAGGTTTTCTGCTTTCTAAAGCCGTCATTGTCACCGTCTGCAACGTGCAGAACTACTGTAGATATTGACATGCAAGCTACAGAGCACCGAGAACAAAGGCCATTAATCAGGACATTCTTATGGCTGGTAAAACCCCATCTAAGCCTTACATGTGACACACACCCAGGCAAGAGAGGCAGGGAGCAGGATGTAGAGCAGACAGATTGCGGAGTGAAAGGGGAGAGAAGTCAAGAGTCGGGTGGAGAAACAAAGCAATAAAGGCTGGAAAAGCAGAGGGAGGGTTCTCCCCCATGAAATTCACAGGGGACGGGTATTTGACTCGTCTGCCAGTGCCGAGGAGAACAAGCACGATACCGCATGGCAGCGAGAAAAGAAATAAAAAGGAAACCCAAACAGATGAGGGAAAAAAGAAAGGAGATGAAAAGAGAAGAAAAGAGCAGCTTTGAAGAGGGTGGGTAAGCACAGCGAAGGAACGGCAGTGCTGAAAGAAGAGAGAGAGAGAGAGACAGAGGGAATAGCTGTCCCTCTTCGTCGCTTCTCTCGCACTCCACTCAAAGGCAGGATTAAACACTTCTCAGAGCTGGCTGCCACACAGAGCGAAACACAGGACAGAGAGCAGGAAAGGGGAGGAAGAGCGTGTTGTGATGGAACGGATGTGAGGTGGAATTGATTGGGATGGAAGTAGTGATTATAAAAGTGGGATTTTTTTAAAAAAGAACAAGGGATGAAACGGTGCTCGGCATCACACGGTGAAGGAAAACTAACTGGGCGGAATTCTAAGGATGCATGGAGAGCGGATGAAGAGCAGAAGGGGGATGCTATTTGAGGCATGCGAGATGCACGCTTGTTTGTGAAATTCTCACCCGTACAAAGCTTGGCTCTTTTCTCCAAGTGGATCACCCTTTCTCCCTCCATCTCTGTGTCCTCGTCCTCCGCTTTGAGGCCAAGGGGGCGTTTCCTGGTGACCCCAAAGCCAGGGCTAGTCCTCTCATCGGGAAAGCCCTTTGATGGCGTCAGTGTGGGTGGCATACAGTGACCTTCCTCGCACTCTTTCATCCCCTTCCTGACACCATCCTTTAGCCCTCCTTGGCCCGGACCTCTGGCCCCATCTTGGGCTTCATGAGGATGGGATAAAGGCTCCCTCTGCCCTCCACACCTCTGAAGGACTGGAACTCTGTTGTTTGTGTATGCCGGCCGGACACCTGAGCAAAGCAGAGAAGACGGGGACATGAAGCGAACAGAGGAAATATAAACATAAGATGATGGGAAGGGTGCAGACACACGGGAAGAGATTTCAGACAGAAAACAAGCAGGGAAACAGGGTGACACAAGGTGTGGTTGGTGGGGGTTGACGGAGCGAGAATGCCAGTTAAACACCAGCCCGCTTTTATTCTGCTTTAAAGACAGGCAGTAAAACTTTGATGAGGTAAAGACTTTTTAATCTGATGCGAGCCGAGCCAGCGGCCTGATGGTTCAGTGCAGCCGTGCACACTTCCAGCAGAGAGAGGCACGAAAACATCCTGCGCACATGTTGTGCATGGCGACTCCCATCCCTCTTCCCTCTCCCTCTTTTCGTCATCTCCCTGCCCCCCCCTCCATGACCGCACCACGCCCTTCTCACACAGAGCGTGACTCTACCCCCCCCCCCCTTTTCCTTCCCCTCTCTCGTCGTCGACTCCCTCTCTGTCTCTCTCCATGCCATAATTAGGCTCACACGTCAGCTGCGGCCTCGCTCCAACACACAGCTGGGCTGCCAGCCAATGTAACTACCCCGCTCCCCACCCCACCCCGCTCTTTCCGTTGCGCTCTCCCATCCGCTTTCACCCACCAACTCCCCCCCCCACCACCACAGCTTTCACTCACGCACTCCCTGCCCCTCCTTCTCCCCCATTGCCCTCCCCTCGCCATCGTCTCTCTGCGCAGATAAGCACAAAAGGCTTCTTGAAAATAAAACTCCCCCTCGCTGTCTCTCTTGCCCGCTCATTGGCTTGCGCTGCCTAGCTTGTGTAAAAGTGCGTGCACACACGGACACGCTTGTGCGTGTGTGTCTGTGTCTCTGTGTGTGAGTGGAAGAGTGTCTTTTTTTAGAGTGACCCGGTCTTGCCTCAGCATTTGCTGCAAGTGCATGAGAGCGAGTGTGTACGCTCCTATTGTTTGCGTGCGTGTCCCTTTTTTTTTGTGAGTGTTCATTTGCAGAGTGTCTGCATGTATGTGTGTGCATGCCTTGTGTATATGTGTGTGTGTGTGTGGTGCTGGGTTACTCACCCTCCCTCTCTCCCTGCCTGGTGGTGTGTTGGCAGTACTCCAGCACTCTCTCTCCGCACTGGCCGTCTGCCAGCTCCCGTCCTGCTGCCGAGGCAGTCATACACACACCGCTGCCCTCCTTCTCCTTCAGCTCCAGCTCCGAGAACCGCATCATTGCCCGCTGTGCATACACACACAAAAATGCAGAGAAAACCCATGAAAACCACTCATCATCTGCCCATGCCGCGCACACACACGCACCTCTCTAAGCCTAAATCTGGCCTCAACAGCTACACAAGCAAAAAAAAAAAAAAAGCATGAGAAATCACATTGTCTTAAAAAACAAAAGAAGAATATGCCAAAAGAATTAACCTCCCCCCACTCCCCCCCCCCCCCCCACACACACACACTCACAACACACATACGCACACAAATACACGCAGGACACAAAGGAGGACAGATAAATCACAAGCACGGCGTCAAGACACAGGTTAGACTACTGCAGCCACTGTCAGTCCATGCGCTCTGGGGCTTAAATCCTGGCTTCTCCCTTCCTGAAACATAAACATGGCTTGGAAACATATACATCTAAGCCCTGAGGCGGAGAGAGGAGATGAAAAGGAGGGAAGAAGGAAAGAAGGGAGTGGGGAGGGGAAAAATAAAAAAAGAAGTGTGCAGCGATACACAGTACAAAGGAGACAGAGCCCGTCAGAGGCAGATGTGATAAGAAATGTAAAGAACTGACCTCCCAGTTAGCTGCAGGTTGACTTATATTACTCCCCTCTCGTGATATGACTTCCATCTAAGCAATTAGAACGGGGGGGGGGGGGGGCTCAATATATCTGTCCAGCATTTCATCTTTTTCTTTTTCTTTTTTTTAAATAAATGAATTTACGTTACGTTTCTCCACATGTTTCTTTTACACAGAACAGGTAGCCACAATCCCAACAAAAATAACAATCAAATTAAAGTGAATCAACAGGTCAATTAACACTGCATCAAAACCATCAAATAATCTCTGAACTGCACCAGTGACAAATTGGAAAATTTGAATGGAAATAACACGGGCATTTGAGGTATAATTGATGACACCAATTCAGTTTCAGCTGTCTTGCTTGCTTTCTTTTTTTGGCGGCAGGGGGGTGATCCAAGCAGACCACATCTGATTTTTTTTTTACGCATCCAGAAATCCAGTGTTTGATAGCTTTGAGTTGCAGCTGTGGATTGACAAGCATGACAAAAGACAAAAACCACAGTTTTCTAGGGTGCATTCACAACATAGACAGACATGTGCAACCTATTAACATTTCTGCCCCTGAGCCAGTGGATAATATAGCATAGTGTGTCTTTGTGTTTCTGTGCTCAGCATTGAGCAAAAGGCAACCCCAAAAGACATAAACAGTTTGAAATGAATAGCTCAGTGTGCATTTATGAATGACAGTGGATAATAGCTAAATGTAGGTGATACTACTGTAATAGTATGTTTATAGAGGTCATGTGATCTTTGTTAGGAGGGCTGGTATTTTAGCCAATGGCGGGAGCGGGGATGAGGAGAATTATGACCTTAGACAGCAACCAGGCAGGACAGGTCATTGGAGGGAGGTGGGTTGGGTGAGGATAGTGAATGGCAGATGGGGGCATGCAGAAAGCCTTAGAGAAACCCTGAAGAGGGCAGCTGTTGGTTGTTAAGCACACTGCAAGCCCTCCACTGGCCCTAACCTTGGGGTTAAGCGTAGCCAAAGGCAGTGTGAACTGTGAGGGTGCCACAGTCATTCTCCCAAACTACTGTACATGTCTCTTTAGCACACTCAGCACTAACATGCTTTAGCCCCAAGGCAGTCACACAAGGACAAGCACATACGGAGACACAAACACGCACACACGCACAGAAATAACCTTTACAATGGCTGCTCACTAATCAACATACAAAGATGGCAGCTCTGGTTAACCTTTGAACTGCCACCCCATTAAGGAGGGTCTCGACTGGCCAGATCCCTAAGACAATGATAAACTATAAAGGGACAATCAAATCTACGGCCAGGACAGTAGCGTGACAGCAATTATATTGTATGCAAAGTATGCCAATTCCATGCAAGGTTTGCTCTATAGGCTGATCTGAATATTGCAGCAGGGGAAAACTGAGAGTGGCCTTTGAGGTTTTATTCCTGTGTGGATGTTAGAAATCAATGTCTGAAATGTCTGCACATAAGAGAAGTTGCTCATAACAGCCTCTCCCCATCCCATCAATTATCTTAAACCCAGTTCATTACGTATTGCATGTATACACAAACGTGCACAGTTGTTTGCAGCCTTACCTGCAGAGCTCTCTGTTCACGGCTCAGCTTGCTCGAGTCAGCATATAGCTCAGTGGTGACACATTTAAAGCGGTCGCCAACGTAGCCTGAGGAGTTAGCAATCCTTTTGGCCAGGCTGGATCTACGAGAGTTTTTAGATGAAGTCTGGCTACCGTCTTCTTCCTCATCCCCTTCTCCCTGAGACTCCCCCAGGTCAACAATACTGTCTTCTTTTTCAGTCTCTCTCTTGGGGACTTTTTCCAGGTCTGATTTCTTCACCATATCTGTGCAGTGTTGTGTAAGGCGAGAAATTCTGCTGTCCCTCCTGTCCCCTTTGTCCCTACCAGAGCTGCGCTCCCCTGATGTTCGAGCACAGCGCAAGGTGCTCTGATCTTGGTCTTCAAGGTCTGGGCTGGGGCTCTGCTCCTCACAGCTCTCCTCTGCTTGGGCAACCAGGCACGGAGAAGCTGGGGATATGCTAGATGTTGCCCCAGCACAGCCAGTGTCCTGGGGAACCTCTGCTCTCCCAAAGGGAGCTTCTGGTTGTCTGTCACTGTGGTTGGGCTTAAGGTTAGGACTCTGTCTGGAGTGGATTGGATAAGGAAGGGAAAGGTGGTGTTTTGGTTCATACTCAGTCTTTGTGAGATTTTGGTTACTATGACAACATTCATTTTGGGAAGCCTTGGTGCTGGTCTCGGCAGAATGTTGTTTGTGGCCTGATGGTGTAGTCTCCATATCTGTGTCTGAGTGTACAAGGTCAATGCAGACAATCTTTTCTCTGGATGTTAAAGAGGAAGAGGGGTGTTTGCTTTGACTGCCACACTGTCCTTGTGCTCCAGCTTCCCTGTCAGGCTTCATTTGGTTTCCTTCGCCTATCTCTTTCCCACTGTTGTTATCTCTGTGGCTTCCACCTTCTTCAACAGTTCCCCGAGATTTCTCCTGTCCCCGGGACTTCAGTGTTGCATCTGCCCTTTCTGCCAGCTTGTTGTCAGAGTGTGTCTGCATCAAGGGATGGGCCATCTCCTGTGAGTTATAAGTGAGATATTCTCCTCCTGGACCAGGGAGATTGTGGTATGGTAAAGGGTGTTTTGCTGCCAGGTGGGTTGGATAAAGGCTGTTGCTGCCCAGCAGTACTGGGTGAGGGTAAACTGGGCCTTTTCCTCCAATTGGCACAGAATGTATTGTCATGTTGTCTGTGATGGGGTAAGGTAGGTATCTGTTGGCATAAGCCAAGCTGTGGTTTAGATAAGCCTCATTCTGTGGAAGGTAAAGATGGCCAGGAGGATGACCGTTCTCTACACAGTGCCTCTTGTAAGATGGCACATCTGGGGTTGTTTCAGCTCTCTTACTGGTCTGGGAGGGCTTCTCTGTTCCCTCTCTGTGGTGACCCGCAGCTGGTGGATGTTCTGACTGGCTGGGGCTGTGTTTGACCCACTCACCATTATGTTTGGGAGAAAGAGCCCTGGAGTTGACCACAGAAGTGCCAGATGGTTGAGTCGAGGAGTGGTTGGGCTCTTCTATCCTTGGACAGGATGAGCTACGTTGCTGAGGGAGTACTCTCTCCAGACCTTTATTTTTGATAACAGAGGGTGAAGAGCCTTTAGTTTGTGAAAGACCCAGGTCTGTATTAGGTCTCGGAGAGGTGGGCAGGCCCGGTGTGTGCTGTGCGTGAGAAGGTGATGGACTAGGTACGACCCAGGTGGAGTGTAAAGTGCTGATCATCTCTGGTCTGTCTGAGACCTTTGAAGAAGTGCTGCTGACCACACAATGTGGATGGGGAGAAGGGGAAAGGTTTTCTTTTAAGAGCTCTCTGTTAGGGGGAAGTCCATAACGTGGACCTGAAGTGTCCATCTTAACTGGGAATCCATTGGAGGGCAATCCAAAGTCTAGCATTCTTCCAGACAAATCCAAAGGCTTCTCTGCTGGGTCTTTGGTTGCCTGTGGTTGGTGAGCTGGTCTCTCAGAGCTGGCTTTGGAGGGAGACCTGCTGGGTCTTTTCTCAACTCCTGCATTTCTGGGTTCAGGGGCCCCATCTCTTGGCCTTGATTTGTGGGGGCTGGGTCGGGCAGGAGAGGGCTGCTCTGATGCCATGCTGCTAACAGAGAACGTAAGAGGAATGGACTGTGCGGATGTGGATGAGGCAGATATTGAGGAAGTGGACGACACCGGTTGTCCTATCCTGGCAACCGGCCTTTGCAAATCCAGTGAATTGTCGAGGAGAGCAGGAGGAAGGGGAGGTTGTGGCAGGCGAGAAGAAACACGAGGAGAGGAATCAGTAGGCAGACTACTGATACCACTAGTAATAATACTACTTGTATTAATATTGTTGCTAGAGCCCTTCCTGGACGGAGGTCTGCTCGGTCTGATACTCCTGTTAGGTGAGCGGTCCCTGTCTATAGAAGCTTGATGGTGCTGAGAAAGAGGTGAGGGTTGGTGAAGCTGCTGTGCAAATGGAGGTGCAACACCAAGCCCCTTGTCTTGGCAGTGTACCAGTGATGTTGGGGCCACGGTGACTGCAGGAATCCTCATAGGTGGTGCCACCAGGGGTGAAGAGATGGGTGAAGCAGGATAGGGAGGCATATAATAGAGCCTGTCAGCAGCAGAGACCGCTGCAGCAGGGGTAACACTGCCTCCCTGGGCTGCACACAGAGAAGGATAGGCCAGGTGCTGGGGAAGATAGGGGTTGGGTTGGCTGAGCAAAGAGGCTTTGTACATGTTTAGAGCTGCATACTTGGATGTGTCCATGAAGGGATACATGCTCGCTTCGGGGTAAGGGCTGAGCCATGGCATGCGGAGGTAGCTGCCACCAGCACTTGCCAAGCCCAGTTCAGATGCTTTCTCTCCAGGCCCTACTCTGCGTTCCAAGCCGAGACCTTCGGCTCCAGGAACCAGCACGGGCTTGTGGAGACTTGGATGAGCGCCCTTATAGAGGCCTAGGTATCCATTCGCCGTCTTACGACTGTCCAGAGGGCCATCAGGCTTGTAGATGAGTTCTGGGAGTCCATCCCTGTTATAAGTAAGTGGAAGTGCAGGCGCCTCTCTGCCCTTCTCTGCCTGAAGTGCTCTGATCCCTGGATACACAACCCCACCATGGAGATGAAGCCCATCGTGTAAAAGAGTGCTTCGGTCCAGCCCCATTGCTGCCAGGGGCGTCAACCTTGCATCCACCTGCAGCAACAAAGGAAAAAGTATCTATTAGCACAAAAAAAAAAAAAAAAACTATCCTGACATCAGCACAAAAACAAAAGAAAAAATACTACTAAAGATTGAAAAAGAAAATCTTGGCTTGTTTTTGCTAAAGTGACTTATGTGACAAATGAGTACAATCTGTACATGGGGATGAGCATGGGGACTTGCCATGTTTCGTGCGATATGGTTCCCTTGTCTTAGTTCCAGGTTGGTTTGTGCCTCAGCATCGACATCACGAACAGATGTTGCCCTGTGGAGATGAGCAAACAGTTAGCTGTCAGTGTCTTGGCTCCGTCACACACACTCACAAACAGGCACACACACATGCAGGCATGCACCGCAGCTGTGTTGCAATGCTGCTGCAAAAGCAAAAAAACCAAACAAGCAATTACAAAAAAGCGAATTCATAAAATTTCAAAAGAGGAAACACATTTTAATTCTTGCCAAGACTTAAACAAATGTGTCTCTGCTAAACAGGGATTAAACGCAGTCCAGGGATGTGCAAGTGAAACGAGGCAAGAGCAACAAAATGGCACTGTCCACTGAAGCGCTTGCTAGAGATGAAAGCACAGTGTGGGCTCCCCACTCCCGCCCCTTCTAATCTGTCAACATCTCCCCCATCCCCATATCCCCCTCCCGTTACCCCCAACCTGCCCACCCTTGGGCTAGACGTGCACTGTGAAGCTGCATCTATTCAGTCACGTTCCTCACACACTGGTTTTTCTATGCCCTCTTTGACCTGCCCCCTCGGCTGCCTCAGCCAGCAGAGCGAGGGAAGATTATGCATCACAGACCAATTCGGTGGGAGACCATTTACCACCCGCCAACACAGAGCTTCAGATCAACAAACACTCACACCAGAACACGCACGCACACACAAGCACACAAAAAGAATATCAGGCAGCAAGAGAAAAGAGACGACTGTGCAAAATTTTTAATAAACCATAGATTTGAAAAATAAATCATAAATTTTAAAAATTAAGTTGACAATAGGAAACTTTTTTTAAACCCCAGAGGTAGTGACAAAAAGAAGAAGAAAAAGAAATCTTCATAAGACCCCCGTTTGTGTGAAACGTCCTTTAATGTCTTCTGTTTAGTATAGATTAGAATTTTCTTAAAGCGCCAGAGTACAACAGGGTTGTTGTTGTATTTTTGTAATGACAGGGAAAATGTGAGAAGTTACAAGAGGATGGTTATCAATTATTCATTACTGCAACAAATTCTGAAGACAACAGATTCAACAACTGGTTGCTAAACCTGTGCTTTTCTCAGCTGGGTGCTGATGAGTTCGATTTCAAAAGGGGGAAAAGAACCAAACACGCCTAATTTAATTAAACTGCTGCGAAAGCAAATGTACAGAAACTTTCTGAAGAGCTAGGATTTTTTTTTTTAAAGAGCAGTGGCAACCGACGTCAACCCTGCATGTTCGTTACTGCCTGAGTGACATCACAATGCCCTGAAAAACAATGTCTCACACACACACACACACACACACACACACACACACACACACAGGGTTTCAAAGATTTTAATTGCGCAAATGTCAAAGTAGAGATATTAATGAAATATTTCGGACCCTTAACGGGTCATGTGGTATCTTAACAGCTTTTCCCTAAAAGATTAAAAATGAAATAAAACCATCAAACAGATTTAAGGATGAAAAAACTGTTTGAATTTGATCCCCTTTTCACGATTTGGGAAATATTTTACTTTGAATTCTGACTCGATCCCTAATTACGGTAAAAAAAAAAATTAAAATCTTTTTTTTCTGAAGGGCAGCCGTGGTAAGCAAGCACATACAGGAGTGCGGTGAGAGACGGTGAGAGAGAGAAGAGGCTTTAAAGAGGGGGAAAATGAAGCTTTGCAGAGAAACACGGCCCCTCGATCATTGCAGTAAAACGCCTCTGCGCCTCGCTGGCACGCCACTTTTATTGCCGTGACCCGGGGCACATTAATCAGCCTGCTGTGGGCCCCTCGACACGGCTTCTCCCTGTCCCATCCTCCCCCACCACCACCCTAAGCCACAGCTCCGCCGCCAGTCCACCGTCAACATCATCCGCGTCGGAAGCGAAACGGGTAGCTTGTGTGAGAGTTCGTGGGCACAAGCGAGACGGTGTATACGCACGTGTGCACGACCACGTGTTCAGCTGCAGGAGTTTCGTCAGTGCACGGGGACGCTGTTCAGAAATCACACCGCTCCTTCCTCAGCGCGTTTCTCTGCGTGCCGCTGTCAAAACGCGGATCGTGTTGCGCTTGCACTGAAAAGTCTGCGCTCAACCAGAGCAAACAGCTACAACAGCAGCGGACACAAAACACCCTCATTCAAACCTTTACCGGCGTTTCTGTCCAAATGAAAAAAAACTATCATAAACACATAAATCTGCTGAGCTTCTCTGGAAGGAAAAAACAGCAACTTGGAGATCGAGCGTTTTATGACAGTACTATCTCTACCTAGACTATTTTTAGATGAAATGAGCAGCAACAGGGCCGAGATAAGAGGTTGTATCGGGGCAAAAGTCAGGATGAGGCACCTGATAAACGCTGAGGGGGAGAATGCGTGTCTGCGGACTATCTCCCGCATAACTTCAGAATTGCACGGAAACGCTAAAGCTTTCTTTCTGCCTCCTACATTAGTGGGATATATAGTCATATGTTTATGTTAATATGATAAATGGGCTGGTGTTTGTTTTAGACGCTTTAAAACCTGCTGCTCAGCTCACATCCACATCGCGTGTGCAGGCAGGAAAAGATTAAATCAGGGCCCACAGGCTATCAAGACGCGAGCAGATAAGGTGTCATTAGAACCCTGTAAAATAGGTGTTTGAGGATTTTCCGGGAGTAAGTCCTGACATACTTTCTCACTGTAAGTGGATAGATGGAAAGAAAAGAATGAAAAGAAAAGCAGGAGGTGGGAGAGAAGGGAAAAGGCAGCGTGTTGACGCCCAACCCCACTGGCTAAGAATAGTTTGCGCAACAAACAACTCCCGACGGCCGTCCAATCCATCACGCTGGCCTGCAGCAGGCGGAGGGGGGAAGGGGGGGGGCAGCGGTCGGTGCTGCTGCGTTTATAAACCAGACCGCTGGAGCGCAGCCCCGACGCGCACCATTAAACTGAAAACCACCGGGTGTTTTTTAGCGGAACCTGGTTTCAGCGCTGCGTTTCAACGGAGCAGCTGTAAACAAAGCCGAAGAGACAGACTGATGAAAAAAAAATAGGAGAGAGGGAGGAGAGGAGAGGAGAGGAGAGGAGAGCCAGAAGACAGTCCCGCTTCTCCCTCCTTTGTTTCCCGTCTCCGATGACAGCGACTTGAACTCTCAGTGACCCGCGGCAGGCGCACCAGAACAAACACCGGCACCACTCATCATTTCCTCCAGGGCTGAGGCCTCTCCCCGCGCAGCGCAGTGGTTGTGTGCATACCAATAACGCGCGCGCGTGTACAGGCCTCATCTCCTTTTAAAAGTTGATAAATGACCGCCTAGAAACGTTTCAGTGAAAGAGCTCGGGGCATATATTAAGCACGGCTGTTCCGTTTTTACGATCAGCCCGCCGCGCGACCCTGTTGTTGAATTTCCCTCAGACTGAACGAGGAAACCGGGTGGCAGGTCTCTGCTGTGCGCCGGGGGAGAATGTAGGCTACATAGGCGCCCTCTCGTTCTTTGTCCCTGGAGCTTTGCCAGACTCTCTGAAGCGGCAGAGCTGCGATCAGCTCTGAAAAAAAAGAAAAAAAATGCACTGTGACGCAGGATAATCTCCGCAGCGACGGGGGTGGGGTGGGGATAAACATGGATTAAATGCGGGCGCGCGCGCACACGCACCCCCACCACCACACACACGGGATCACCGTGACGGCGGTGTGTTTACGCGCACTCGAAACGAAAGGAATTTTTTTTGCGCACACGGCGGAGAACATCTGCGGCAAAACACGTGAACAGCAACTACAGTCTGGCTACAAACTCCACAGCCTCAGGTCACCCGATCCCCGGCATTAACACCCAGCACCGTAATGAGCCGGGAAAGGGGGAAAAAAAACCTCGGAAGAGAACGCCGGCCCAATTTTAATGGTTATTGATTATCGAGCCGACGCGTGCCAAATGGACCAATTGATCATCTCAGCGCAGGCTGCGCAATCTATGGAAAGCTGACACGCTGTTTCTCGCTGTAGTTTCAGATTTAACAGAGCTGTGAGCGCAAAGCGGAGGGAGGGGAGGGGGGAGTGAGCAGGAGATGGAGGAGATAAATGTTGTGCGGGGACTCGGAGGAGAGGCGCGCTGCTGCCGGAGCGCGGAGCTGGAAGGAGAGATGGCGGCGCCTCTTCAGCTGTCACATTATTAGCGGCGCAGTTGTAAACAAGGGCCCCCCGCGTCCTCCCGGGCCGCTGCACAGCCGCACGCAAGTCGGTGCACGGTTCAGTTCCCCCCCGCAGCAACACGGCCGTCAACAACGGCGACATTGTGAGCCCCCCTCCCCCCTCGCTCTCCCTCCAGTGCTGTCACCAGGGCTCGGGCGGCGGCTGCTGAACTGGCTCTATTCATCCCAGGCCAAATGAGGACTAAATGGCTCTTTATGCCACCAAAGGACCCGATTGTAACAGAGATGCGCATGCACGAGCCGGCCCGCGTTTACCGGAGGTTTTTGGAAACGCTGGCATTGCTTTCATGTGTTTCTGATAAAAGCACATGATGATGAAGGAATGATCCTCTTTCATGTGCCCTCTATTTGTTCGCTACTTTCCAAAGGCTGAAGTTCCAAAGTGTTTCGCGCAGACGGAGACAAGAGGATGTTTTGCCTCTTTTCATACGCGCTGCTTAATTAACTGCGCCCTGTAAATTAGGCCAGACAATCTCTGCTGAAACAATTAAGTGTTTACCCTCACGGTACGACCCACGTGACCACCCTCCCCACCTCGAGGTCAGAAGCTCCGCGGCCGAAACAGGCTCGTGCGATGTTACGTGCAGACAGCGCATGACGCATTCCTGGCTTTGAAGACTGTCGGCGTAATAAACTCCTGTCGCTATTAACATGCTGCGTTGCCAAGAGTCTGTGGGATTTCGTCAGAGATGCCCGAGGCGCAACGCGGTCTAAAAAAGAGAAGGAAAAAAAAGCTTCAAGACCGAGCCTGCAGAGACTAGGGAGGAAGGAGGTGAGGTGTGTCATCATCACTCTGCCGCTAAATCAATCACACCGCGGGCCAGAGCGAGGTCAGCAAACTAAATCCATTC